TTAATAATTCTGGTAAATAGTGAATAAAAATAGATAATAGCATAAATATTAATGGCGTCCAACAACTTACTGTGAGAAACGGCATTAAACATAAAACGGCATTACACGAGAAACGCATTTTTTTTTCCAACTACACCAGCAATCACTTCAACTGTAGTATGCCAACGCGAATTCGTATCGCACTCCCTCTAACTGGATTTACAACTGTTTTAGGTTCCATTAAAAGTCCAATAGCTGCATTAAGGATTCTTTCGGTATCGTCTTCAGTTGTGTCACAGCGCTATCGATCATGTAAGCATCACCAATCGTTTCTACTTTATAAATATTGTGTTAGATAGCCATCATAATTCATTAAAAAAGTGTGTTAGCCATGAAATTTATTTTTCAATTTTTCAGCCAAATTTTATCATTTGAGTGCTTTGCTAACAAATCGAGATTTTTCTCGGAAAATAACAAAGGCAAGAAGCAAATTTCAACAAGAAGAATTATAGATGAGTATAAGTATGAAAATATAGTATTGTAGCAACGATCCGATCAAAATTAACGATCATTGAGCACCATTACGACGTCAGACGGTGTGCACTTCGCGCACATATTAGTGAATGACACGATATCAGTAAAATAGAACTGTCGCTTTGGGGAAGTCACCTGAAATGAATTTTTCATCTGCTGAACGAGAAAAGCGCATTAAAAATATTAAAAATGTATGTGAATTAAAAGTACATGTGACGCCGTTAAACAATGGAATAACTGTACTTCGCAAAAAAATTGATAAAAAAAATAGATCAGTGGGTCTATCGGTGGCGGTGGCAATACATGGCAATACTTTAAGTTAGGAAATGTACAATTAAATTTGTATAAATATAAAGTTTAAGCTTAATATAAATAAGGTTTGGTTGTTGTTTGGTGACGGTGTAATATGTCGACGTGCAGATTGCACTGCTCGTTGATCGCCTTCGCCTTAGAAAGTGGCCAAAGCAGAAGTATTAAAGAGAACTATTCCTTGGCCAAAAATCAACCAATTTTTAAGAGAAGCAAAGCTGCAAATTTCAAATCCAATTAGAATGGAATCAAAAATGAGCGGAGCAGATATTCGAATAAAGGAACCATTGGAAAATAAAAATCGCACCGCTTAACGGTGATATTTTGGGATTAAAAAAATTATCAATCAGATGGATTACTATCGAAATTCGTTTTAATATTTAAAGGATAGGAATTTTATGAATTTTTTACCTTCGTTTCATATTTTCAATCTTTTTTTTTGATAAATAAATGCGACTCATCGATGCTTTCAAAATATTTTCACCAAATAATTCGATTAGTAAAAAACCTCGATTAATTTTCATTCGCTGAATGTAAAGTGAGTTTTTTCGTATTGCAGTTTCTGAAAGAAGTTATGTGCATGTCATCATGTCATTATGTCATCATATCACCTAAGTGTAAACATGCACCAAGGCTTAGGCTTAGGGCTTAGGCTTTTTCCGTCACATGCCATTTTGATTTAAAAGCCATCAGCTATAAAACAGGAACAAATTTGCTTGAATCTGACTGATTCAGCAATGCTCGCCTTACTTCTTCTTTGCATCTCCGCTGATTTCTCATTGCAGCAAGGACAGCAGCCGCCGCCCCCACCGCCTCCGCTGCCCCCACTGCGACCGCTGCCTCCACCGCCTCAGCAGCCGCAGCAGCCGCAACCGCAGCAACTGCCGCAACCGCAGCAGCAGCCTCCGCAACCACAGCAGCAGCCGCCTCCACCACCGGCACTACCTGCACTACCACCGGTACAGCAGCGGCCTGATTACGAGAATTTGCTTAGGGAGTTGGAGGCACTTCTTGCTCGTCCTACTTTACCGCTTTATGATCCTTATAGCTCATTTGCAGGTATCCACTTCGATTTTTTTTAAACAATACTTACCATTACTGATTAGACTCAGTCTGCTGGCTTATCACACTAGGCAATTATGCCGGGGAATCCTTTGGCAATAGAAATACAAGTGATTCGCCATCATCACCCTGATTTTTATGCAAGTTTATTTCTATAGGGAGATTTTTATGCAAGTTTATTTCTATAGGGAGTAAAACCTTAGCATAAGCGCTCCGAATGGAGCAACAACCCATTGACCCATTCTACTCTCCTCTGCTTTCTCTGTTAGGTGCCACTGCCGTCCGATGAGGAAGTGTGGTGCCTCGGCCAAATTCGAAACTAAGCCTCGGTGCAATTATCTTTCCACTGAATCACCGGTGTAGAATTTCCTTAAAAAATTTATTCGTAATTAAATTATAGAATATATAAAGCACTATTGCAGATTGTCTTAGCGATTACCAGTGCAGAGTATTTGAACATTGTGTGGTTGGTAAATGCATACGCGATACAAGAGGTATGTTGTTTTGTGGTTCTACTTTTATAATAATATTATTCTTCATTTTTCATTCCCGCTCATTTGAAATAAGAAAAGCGTTTATTTACCACTTTTAAGCTTGTCCGGGTGGTACTTGTCCAGCAGGAATGGTTTGCGTTGCTGGACGATGTCTTCCGGACCCTCTAATAGCAACAACGGAATCCATATTGGGAAGACTCAAAGAAGGTTTTTTTTCTGCGAGATTGCAATAGTTGTTGTATGCCCAATATTATTTGCTACCAATTTATTTTAAAATACTCGAAAACAAGTTGATTAAAGCGCTTTTTGTCATTAAACAAGATAGTTTGTTTTATATGGTCGATTTATAACTACTAAAATTTTCTTTTAGAATGCCCCTCTCCATGGACATTTAGTCAACAGTTTAACGCATGCTATTATGTTGTAGGTTTTTTTCATTAAATTTTTGTCAAATTTTGCTTACTTCACTCCTTCTTCATTTGCCTGTCATATGAGTCTTCAGGGTCGTGGTTCATACAATTTCTTCACAGCTAGCGCAGAATGCCGTAGGCTTGGTGGAACAGTTGCATCGATCGGTTCAAGTGAAGAAATGACTTATGTAAACGGTTAGTTTACAATAGCACTCTTCTCACTCGTTCTCAATTTTCCAAAAAATTGCGCAGATTCAATATGCCATTTGTTTAGGTCTGGTCGGTTCTGGTGCGTATTGGATTGGATATCATCATACAAGATTCTCTTCGAATTGGGAAGATGGATCGCCTGTAGGCTTTACGAATTATAGACGAGGGCAGCCAGATGGATGTTGTGGTGGTGCAGGATGTACGCTAGTTAATTACAGAAGTAATTTGGGAGAATGGGATGATGCTGGATGCCACGTAATATGGCGTACACCAACTTATGCAGTTTGTAAGAAGCCGCGTTAATTCGTATTTTCATAATAATTCATAAGCTATAATGTTAATCGTAAGAAATAAAAAGTTAATCGTAAGAAATGAACGGAAATAAAAATTAAATCTTGTCAATTGTGGAATCTCAAGCGTACTTAATGTTGCAATAATATTATTGAATTTCATACAACCAATATTTTGATAATGAATTTTCGTCCCAACAATCGTAAAATACAGTGAGCCTAAATGTTAGATGAGCTTAGGCAATTGGATTCTGAGCAACTGCGTTTCACTTTTAATAATAAATTTACTTTCGATAAGAATAAAAACTCTAAAACTATTTGTGAATTGATATTTGCATCTTTCGTTTATTTCACATCAATCACAATTTTGATAATTTCCGTTCATTTGTTATCCAATGGTTTCAGTTTGCTGAATCATTTTTTAAATAATGCTAGACATAACATAACGTGCCTGCGGAAATTAATCCGACTGGCAATTATATTTGGCTAAAAAAAAGTTGCAATAGTGCTTTACAAAGGCCAAAGGGTTGAAGGTTTATTTGGTTCGTAACGCAAAAAAAGAGGACAAAGCAAAAGTATGAAAGAATTGATTGTATATAAGCAAATGATTTAAACGATTACTGCCATTTCTGGTTAGGTCGCTCCAATTTTTGCTAGTACCTGGGAAATTCTTGTTCATGAACGGTTGGAAATAAAAATATAAATGAATTTTTAGTGACAGATTTGTTTGATGTAAGATCCGAGTTCGCTCCAAGCAAAAATTCTATTCTACCAATAATTGATTAATCTAGAAAATGTTTACTTATATTCTAACATGTTGGCTATTAAGTAAGTGAGCAAGTAAGTTTTAGGCGCTTAAATATTTTTATCAATGAGCTAAATAATTTTGAGAAAAATTTTAGATCAAATTTCGTTTAAAGCCTAATCAATTGGTGAAAAAAAACGAAAAATCCATGCGTTATATTAACATTTCGATAAGAATAATTCAATATCCTCCGATTAGCATGCTCTTTGTTCAAAAAAATCTATTTTCTCGTATATAAAAGTTATGTCTTTATCACTATTATTACATTATCGATATCAATATCTTATCAATATCGTATAATTTATTATAACTTATTATTTTTCAACGATTCATTATTTCCTGATTTTAAAAAAATAAAGATGGTTTTTCTTATTCGGCGAAGTGGGAGAGAATTTAGGTTATTTAGTTGAAGTTGTGTTTTATAATTCAGATTGCTATTAGATGAGAGGCGAAATACGAAGTGTTTCTGGATGTCATCAAATAATTTAATTGTTGTTTTATAATTAGGCAATAAAACGAGTTTAACCAGTAATGGTGAGGACTCTTAAGGGAGATACCTGCTGAATTCGTTATGCAATATGTACAAATTTCCAAAAACGCATTTTGGTTAACGACTGATTTTATTATTTTCTAATTCTCGTCAATAACTATGCCAAGGTTTGAGATGTTTGTCTATCCAACCACTGATACGTATAGATTGATATCGATCTTTTAAATATTCCTAATACCTAGCAATACGAATTATCGATAATGCCATAAAAAAATAATGGTGGCCAATAATTTACCGTGGATAACGGCATCAAATGCTTTGGCCAAGTCAAAGTAGACAATTAATACTATTTATCGAAACCATTCGGCGATGAGAAAAAATAAAAGAGTGCTTTATACGATGTTAAAAAAAGGCTGCTTATGAGCCAATAATAATTATGAAAAAGAAGCCCGGAAAAGTGAAAATGTTTTATCAACAACTGGTTCTTGATGGACTAATATTTTTTTACAGTGCCAAACATATGAAAAGAATTATCTCAAGAATTATTTCCATTTTCGCTATTTTGTCGCTCGATTTAAACGACCGATTAATTGTGCCTTATCCTTTCGTCCGATAATGTTCCCTCACTGAACCATAGCAAAAAAACACTTTTTTAATGTGATTAACATATTTTACAACAGATTGATGATACCATTGTTGCAAAAAGTTGTCTTTATTTTTGTCATTGCCGGACTCATGCATAAAAAATTAAACGATCATTGTTGAACAATCGATTTTAATTGAATTGAACTAAATAGCTATCAGGAAAAGTTTTTCGTCATATTCATCAGACACCGCTATTCACCGATGTAGAGTTATACCGAATATATAAAAATATATGAAAGAATTACCCATTTTTAGGCAAAATTTATAGTTATCGCACCTTTCCATTTTATTCTTCTGTTAATTCAGATACGTTAAACCATATTTGCACAACAATTATTTCATTCATTTGAACAAAAAGCACTAGAGAAACCCAATTTTTTAAGCGAAAATACAAATAATAAACCAAATGAATAAAAATTCGCTAAATTATCCCGTATATTAAATGTTTTCTTATTGGCAAACATCGCAAGAACGAGGATAATATCTGCTGAGAACTTCTCTATACCTTGGATTAGTACAAAATTCTTGTTTTTCGATTACTGTGATAATAATTTCTGCATTCATTTATTGAATTTAAAAAATGAGAAAGAGAAAAAAAAGCACGAAATTATTAAAACTAATAATTGCACATACATTTTTCGATTGTTTTCATAAGTTGCAAAATTTTTCGCAAAATGAGCATTGCATGCAAACCAATCCAAATCATGGCAATATTCTAGTGGCACTATTGGTCGTTGCATATCTCCAACGCTTTCCGCACAATCCTTGATTTCCACGTCGCCACCACGATTATTCCTAATTAAATTATTCCTAAAAATAAGATGCAAAATTTGAGAAATATTTTGAGGAATATGAGGAACAATCGCTTATCGCACCTTTTATGCCTAAAAACTATATGTGTGTTGGTAGTGAAAAAATTTATTCAGCTTTTAGACGATATCTCCCTGAATTAAATATTTCAATTTGTTCAATTTCAATTTTTCATTATTTTTATTATTATTTTTATTTTTCATTAATTTTTATTCATTAATTTTTCATTATTATTTTTAAAAAATTTTTTAGTTAATCAATCGCGAAATAGTTCCTCAAAAATTTTCTGTCTAAAATTTCCGTCACATTCCTTTTTCTCTTTTTTTCGTTCTTTCGAAAAAATTTTCTCTTCAATATCTCTTCTAAATTATTTGCTTATAAAAAACTCGCTTTGGAGCTTCTTGTAAATCCCTTCCATCCTTTTCCCTTTTAATTCAAAATCCCTTTTGAAATCCCTTTTAATTCAAAAAGATTTAATTAGTTTGCTAATGATTATAAATGAAAAAATTTCAGCTTCAGCACAAAAAACTTTTCAAAAAGAATTGGCTAAATATCTTCAAAAAAACCTTTCTAAAAAGTTGTTTAATTTTTAATTTTAAAGTATCGTTTTTCATTATTTGAATTCATTTATCGTTTTTCAGCAATTTCCGTTTTTCCGAGAACATTGAAAGTGAATAGTAAAATTTTTTTTCGAAGTTTGAAAATTTAATTGTCAAAATAAATTATAAAATAAATCAGAAAATAAAATAATTAAATAAATCAAATAAAAATAAAACATACTTTATCGGTGAAATATTCGTGCATACTTGCAAAATTTTACATAACTAATTTTGCCTTATTTGTGAGATATAAAGAAATATTTTGAAATTCTTTACATGATTTTTAGCAATAAAACAAATGGGTGTTTGGCTAAAATCAGAGGATGAATCTATGAAGTGAATGTGAGGCAATTTCCAATTGAAATATTGTATATATACTTCCAAATTAAATTAAATACGCTATATATGCGAATTTCCCAGAATGCAATTTGGTAACCGAATGATTTTATGATTTTCTGGTTCTGAAGAATATGATTTTGTTTAATTCGTCGAAGTAGAATTAAAAAAAATTATAGTAGAATTAGAGAATTTAGGATGTTTAGTTGAAGTTGCGCTTTATAATTGCTATTAGATGGATGAGAAGCAAATTGTTCTTTGCTGTATCTAAGGGGATTGCATTATGTTCAAGAATAGACCGAACGCTTCGGATAATTTGATACATATACTTTGATTTGTTTTTGAACGACCTTATTCTTTTTCTCTTTTTCACATGGTAAATTTTTTCAGGACTTTCATCCACGACTACGTCAGAATTTGAGATCTTCGTCTAAATGTGCTATCATTGATACGTACAGTTTAATATCTATCTTTTAAATAATCTGATATCCAGTGATATGAATTGTCGATAATGCCACAAAAATTAATGGTGACCATCAATTTACTATGGGCGACGGCACCAAACGCTTTGGCTAAGTGATATAGACAATTAATATAATTTCTCCGTTATCAACAGATGCAAACCAATCAGGAAGACTTGCCAATACTTGCGAGAAAATAGATTTTTTTGGGCAAAAACCATGGTATTAAATTTTCCGACATGCTGATATCGGAGAATATTAAATTATTGGCGTCAATATAGCTAAGCAACTTGTTACAAATCAGCCACCCCAGTACCATTAGACTAATAATAGATAGGAAGAATCATAGGTATTTTTTTAAAAATAAGAATAAATTGTTTTTATTGTTATTTTTAATATTGTTCAATAAATTTAACAACAATAAATTTTATAGTACACCTCTTCAATATTATAGAATCGAATTGTTGCTGCAAAAGCCATTCAGCGATGAGAAAAAATAAAGGAGTGCAGTGTTATATATTATATATGGTGTTATTTATTACGCTTCGGATAATTTGATACATATACTTTGATTTCTGTTTTTGAACACTATTTTCTTCTTTTTATGGCTTTGCAATGAAGGTCGAGATTTTTATCCATAATTACGTCAAGATGTTTGAGATTCATCAAATTGTACTACTATCGATAAAGGGCTTAGGGAGATTGGACCCTTTCGACTATATACGAAAGGCATTGCACTTCTGAAGAGGAAGCCTGTCATTTGGTTGAAAATTCTCCTGAGGTCATCTTTTAGCGGAGAGAGGTTATGGTCTACCATAAGAATACCAAAATTTTACAACGCATTGCAACCAAAGATAAATGGTAGAA